CCCCAAAACCCCAAAACCCCAAAACCCCAAAACCCCAAATTTGAGCATTAAGTTGAAATCTCAACATACAATTTCTAAATTTCTGTAGCTTAATAGAAGTCTAAAACTCAGTTTGTTCTGTATCGTCTTGGAGTTGTCTGAGGATTTGTTCGAATTTGGAGGCACTTTCTTGGTTAATTTCTTCGATGGAGGTCTCGATTTCGTCGATTTGTGTGGTGGATCGACTCATTTCTATAGTTTATAAGTGTTGTCAATTGATAGAATTCAAATGTGCATAAATACTTACCTTTTATAAGCATGTTCTCAAGATCATTGATATCTATTGGAGAATCTCTCTCAAACTTCTTTTGAAGCTTTTCCTGTGGTGTGGGTTTCTTTTTCTTCTCAAACAACTTATCTGTATTGGTTATTTGGATGAACTTATAAGCACTATTTTTTATTATAAGCTTCTAAATCGTTCATTCTTTGATTATGAAGAGGCTTCATAATTGCCTTCTTATACCTCTTTTCGGAGTCTTTTCTGATATTTGACATTATTTCAGGATATTTCTTAAAGATATCATTTAGGAAACTTTTACCCAAAGCATAGGTCTTAGTTTCCTTGATACACTGATACACAAACTCACTTTTTCGGTCTGTTCAGACATAAAAGTCACATATAAACGAATCTTCTCGAAAGTACTTTATTAGCTTGAAATCTTGAGAGTTGTTGCCTGGAAGTCTAAATCCGACTCCGACAGTGCCTTCCAGGATAAAATAGATTTCAGGGACTTCATCTTCTTCATCATAGATCAGTTCGTTTTCTTCAAATTTCCTCGGCATGAATCCAAATGAGACATCATACAAGAATTTACTCTCAATGTTTTCATAAGTATTGAAGAACTCCTTGAATTTGTAGAAGATATCCTGAAACAAATAATTTGTCATAATTGTTCTCTTAATGCTCCTTGGAAGAGTGTTCAGCAACTCATCATCTGGCGAAGTAGCAGCTAGTCTATCATTTGGCCAGAAGTAAGCAAAATGAGCATCAATCTTATTAAACAAACTTCTTGGCAAAGGATTATTGTTTGTGAATCTTGTCAATCGGGTCATCCAATTATGTAAGTCTGTTCCTCTATCAATAATTCCCATTTTATGTTTATAGTTACTTATAATTTCGATAAAATTGCCCATTATGTATGAGAAGAAAGCGACTCCAACAAGCATTATATCATTCAAGCGATTATTCTCTCGATGTTACTAATAGGATAATAATCACCATAGCCTACAGTAGAAAGTGTAGTGAGAGCGAAATAACATGAAACAACCAATTGTCTAAAGGAGTCCTCTTTATCAAGCTCAAAGTTCTTGACAAAGGTTTTATTATTGTCCGCATGATGCAATTCATTTGAGATGAAGAACCAAAATCAGCCAATAAAATATGTAATAACAATAGCAACTGCGACAAGTCTTAATATTTTAAGGCAATACATTATCATATGCTGTGTGACTATCCTCTGACTCCGAGAAGGATTTTCCATGAATGATTTTAAGAGTTGATTCAACTTGGAAGTATTCATAAGTTTAGTTAATCTTAGCAATCTTACTAATCTTAATAACTTTATTAAGGCCGCTTGGTTTTGAAAAATTAGTGCAAATGGAAACACTGATGCAAAATCAATAAAGAACCATCCCTTAAATACATATCTCTTAATGATCTTTTTATGCTTGGATACAGGCTCATGGGTCTCTGAATCAATATATTCTTGACAAAAATTGAACAGCATATCAAAAATAAAAGCCGCTTCCACTATCCAATCAAACACAATATGAAATACCTTCGACGGTGATGCAAACGCCACATAAAATATCGAAGTCACACAAGAATAGGCTACCAAAATAAGCATGACTATATCAAAAATAGCTTTCCACTTAGAATTTGCTCTTATAATAAAATAATCAAACAGTGATTCCCTTCTAAATCCATTTAAATTACCCCTATCATCTTCATTCTGCCTGCTAGTCCCTTTCTTCTCTATTGTCTGGACATAAGCTTGGTGCTTACCTTAGTAGGGTTCCTGTTGATGATCATGCCTCCTCTGCCAGGCACTATTTTTGATAAGGGATCTGCCATTTTGAATTGGGGTTTAAAATTATATTTCAATCTTATAGGTGAGATTTGGGGTTTTGGGGTTTTGGGGTTTTGGGGTTTTGGGG